TATGAAGTTGCTCGGTAATTGGACACTCCTATGTGAAGTATGTGGCATCTGAAGATGCAGATACTAATCTATAAACTGCTTATCTGTGCCTCTGGGGGGAGTGTTGTAAATACCAAGTGATAGGAGATACTGAGAGCAACACACTATTAAATCTGAAGCAGAGACAAAATGTCCCATTTTGTGAACTCAGGGTTTGTTCCGTGCCAATAAGAATATTTTTACACAAAATGGAAAACATCCCCAAGAGCTATTTTGGAAGTTAGGAGACCAGGATTCAGAACTGTGCTTGAATTAAGGCTGTTAGATCCAAATTAGACTGAAACCTCCATATTTTTTTTTTTTTTTTAATTCCCTGCAGATTTGTTCTATCTTTCCATGCTTGACTAATTTCTCCAGCTTGTAACTTATTTTAAGATCAGGGCTTATTAATCACAGGTCTTCCAGGCAGTTTTAAAGGAAAGTGGTGTGGTGTTTCATTTCTGTAAACACTGTCACTTTTTGATGAAATGATGGTGTATAGCCGGTTGTGCTAACTCTTTTAGGACGGGAAAAAAATCCTAGTAGTGTGTCAGCCAGCTAGCCTAGCTTCTCCTCTCTTTGCCTGAGAAAGCCTGCCCTCTTCTGGGTGAAATTACAACTGGATAAATGGTCAGGGCTGCGGTGGAACTGCTTGAGGTTGTTCTGCTTTGTCGGGAGAAGCTGTTGACTTTCCATGGATAGCTTTGGTGGGCCACTATATTGATACAAAATTTTATGTAGCTGTGGACTTTCTGTTACAATTAACAGTAAGGGATAAAATTTGTTGCATGAAGGTTTCAAATATACTGTACTGTGGGGGTGTGTCTATCTATCTATCTATCTATCTATCTATCTATCTATCTATCTATCTATCTATATCATACTTAAAAAAAAGATTATGGAAATATGGACTTTCCTTATTTAAAATAATTTTGCATTCCTGTGAAATTATGTCTGTCCACGACTCATTTTTTCTTATCAGATCAGATTTTTTTTTGCTAAATCCAGATTTCTTTTTGGTTACCTCCTTCTCTTATGTTCTAAAAATATCTTTTTGTTGTTTTTTAACTCCTTCCCTAACTGACCGAATACTAATAGCTTTTTTTTTGTCAGCGTATAAATTGACAAAGGTAATTAATATTTCGTTAGGGTTGTAAGGTAGGTGACAAACCAAATTCCTAGAGTGTAAAAAAATGAAGAAAGTGGTGAAGTTTCTGTGAGTCCTGGGTTCAGTTCTAGAAAATATATACTGTGACGTGTAATCATCATGATGACATTTGAAGACCTACATTAAACAGATTGATTGCAGTTCACTCCTGAAAGAGCAGGTGTTCAGATCTCATCAAAAAGGCCAAAGGCTGGGCCTGGAATCACTAGGTACCTGCTCAGAGCTTGGCAGTGAAACACTTGTGGTTTGGTAGGGCCACAAATATGTGAGTTTGATTAAAGTAGGCAGGTTCTCTCTGTGCTTAGCTGGATAGTGAAAAAAAAAACAAAAAAAACCCCACTGGGTTTTATACTTTAAGGTAACACAGTATTAACTCACAACAGTGTTTGGAGTTCAGTTAGCATGTTTACACTATTTTAGTAAATTTAAATGTGGTTGTTTATAATGCTCTGAAGTGTTAAAAACTTGGCCATAGAACAAGATCATGCTGTGCTAAGAGCTTGCACAGCACGTCTTTACTCTAAGGGACATTTAGTCTAGGCATAAGACAAGATAAATTGATGGATATAGGCGGCACACTGACATAATGCTACAGCACTGGCCAACAGGATGGACAGCAAAATTTCTGGTCATATCCAGATAGATTGTTGTATACATCCTGACATAATATTTTTTATTTAAAAATGCCACGTGTGTGATGTAATTGGAATACTTGAGTTGTACTGACAATGAAAGCTAAACACAGAAAATGTAGTCACCACCTTGCTCAATCATGTGTACTTTATTGCCTTGTTAGATAAAGCTGCCCCTTGGCAGCCTTTCCCCATCATCTTTGTTTTATTAATGAGTAGATTTGCCTTGCATTTTGAAAAGGCCTTTCCTCTTCTGGCAGACCATGCTTTCTGGGGAGGCTAATGCCGGTTGTATATGAGATGACTTCCAAGATGGGAAAGATGTGTAATTTATGAATTAAAGCTTTTTATAGCCTATTGAACAAACACACCCAAGTACAATAGAATGAGACTATCTGGTTACATATATTTTAAATAAATTATTTTCTTTCTATTTGCATTTATGAAAGTAGTCCAGCCCAGGGTTTCTTTCACCACAAAGTGGTGGCAAAAAGCAAATTCTGTTGGTTTGTTTCTAGTTTTCTGCTCAACCCCATTAGGATTTAGGGTTCTACTTAATTTAGACAGTGGACATGCTGGTGAAAAAAAAATTGATGTTCTTCAGTGTAGCAAATCTTTAATTGTGAGATACATGACTTAGATGTTTAAGGTATTCCTCTGGCTCCGAGGACAAGGTTAAAAACTACGGAATATAGTTCCTTTTGATGTTACTGGAGAAATACCTATTAACTTCCATGGGCCCAAGTAATTGGTCTGCTTTAGAACTGCATTTATGTTATTAAAATTTGATTATTTTCAAAGAAAATATATAAACCTTGCCTATTGGTATAGGATTTTATATTTTACTTTACTTGTAAAATAATCAGAATTGTTAAAATAAAAGCAAAGGCAAAATTGGAGGCAGCATAGCCAAAATCTAACTCAGTTTGGTATACTTCTGCCCTTAGTTTTAAGGACATTTTCAGAGAATAAAAACTTGGAAAATGTTGCTGCCTGAATTAGTCTGCTTTGCTGGGGAGCTTTCCAAAGACACATAACTACTACCAAAATCTATTTGCAGAATACATTATAGAAAGTAGGTAGTTTGAAGTCAGCTTTTAAGTAACTTCATGCAGGTAGTCCAAGAATTGTAGTACAAAAATGGTTTCATTTTATGTAGGTGGTTTTGTCCCTTACATTAACAACAAAATGAGGCAGAGTAAGAAAACAAATATTTAATCTCATTGGAAACTTGCTAATGTTTGATTTTTATGCTCTTTAACACAATTACTATGTTTAGTGGCTGGCAGAACAAATGAAAAGAATATATGTCTTATCAATATTTTTAAAGATTTTCCTCCTATCCCTCTTTAAGGTTAAAATTATATTTGAATTATATTTTGTGCAGTTCCCATTTTGACTCTGAAAACTAAATTTAAACACCAGTTTGATAAATAAGATTTTATTTTGATGCCATACAACCATAAGGGTGTCACTTGCATTTTTAGCAGATCTTGGAGGCATTTCCCTTGTCTTCTAGTGCACCTGTCAGACTTACAAAGTCAAATCACTGAGTTCTGAACACTGCAGTGCTGCTTGCCTGGGATGTCTGTGTAAAAATAGACTGAGATCTTTATTCCTGGTTCCCATTTCTCAACAGTGGACTGGGCTGAATCAGAGAATCTGTTGGAAGATTAATATTTTGATCCTGACTTTATTAACCTCACTGAGATGCTATTGTATGTGAAGCGAATTTTAGTGGGAAACAGGTCTTAGTTCTCTGTTTAATCTTTGGTTTAATAAATTCCTGTGCCAACTACTTTCAACATTGATACTTCTTCACTTTATGTTGTGCTGTTGAATTCTTTCCCATGTTCTCTTCCACCTCAAAACTCCAGAGTTCTCTCTTTTCTAGCACCATTTGTTTTCACATTTCCTTTTCTTTGTGACATGATAAATTATTCTCCTCTATCAAAATTGAGACACACAATGCCTGTCTGCTTTTCTTTGCAGCCAGTGTATCTCACTGAACAGAGCTGATGGTTGTTATTGTGTCATTTCACCTTTTACAACTTCTGTCTCTGGAAAACATTCCTATTTGTGATGGAGATCATCTTTCTTTACTCTGGTGTTCATTCTAGGACTATTATCAAACTTATGTCTTCCTTTCCTCAGTTCTCCAAGAAGTCCAATTGGTTCTGTCCTTTTTCCTTCATTTTGTTGTTGCCACTGTGACTCTCTATCAATGCCTGAGCTAATTTACCACATCCTCTGTTAAAGTATCTAAAGGCATCTGCAAAGTTTGGAAGAGTAGTTAAAAGTACTTGCAGCAGATGTTAATGACAAACTTCTTGCAGGATAGCGTCGGTTTGAGGCTCTCTGAAATGTGAGAAAGGTAGAATGAGTGAAGGTGACCCAGTATGCATGGAAACCTCTGCTTGAATTGCATGGTTTACAAGCACACACTCAAGGTGCAGTGCACAGTAAAGGATTCTTCTGCAAGATCATTCTTGTAATAAGAGCTACTGTTTTGAGAAAAGACAATTTTAAATCGGAATATATCAAAGCGTAACCACTTAAGTACCTTGTGTTCTTGTGGATGTTGAGTTCTGGGCATTTCAACCCCCTTGCAAAAGCAGTATTGCTAAAGTATTCTTGTCTGCATGAGTTGGGGAAGTAAGACTGAGAGACCTGATCTTTTTCTTTTATCGTAGCTAATATGAGGCCTTCACAAATTGAGCAGTTGCCTAGGACATGGCAAAACAGTCCCGAGGGTGTCTTGAGGTGTCCTCAGGGTTTCTTCCTGTCTGCCTGAAACATGTTCACTCTCTTCTCTCTCTGTTCCACTGCTCAGTGAAGTCTGCAGTGCCAACAGAGCACAGGCTCTCCTTAGTTTTCACTGAAAAATATACATGAGGTGTCCAGCATAAGACAGAGGAAGAGGCAGAATCCCTGTTGCTGCCGGTAAAGAAATACGAAGGAGATGACACAGTTTCCCCAAGAACTACCCTTTTCCTTCCCTATCCCATTAGCCCACATTCTCTTCCTGCCCAGCCCACCGGCGATGTCTAATCTCATTTACAGAGGCTGCGGCCAGATCTGCTGGCAGCTGCAGTTTCTTGGCCGCTGTTTTCGGTGAGGGAGCCTAGAGCACTGAGGAAGAGGAGGAGAAGGAAGGAGGAGGAGGAGGAGGAAGGCTGCTGCTGTGTGGCGGAGCGGCGGCAGCGGCAGCACCTTTGACGTGCCCGTCCCCCACGTGACGGCCGCTCCATTGCGGGGAGGGAGCTGAGCTGCCGCCGCTCCGGCAGAGCACGGGAGAGCCGCAGCCTCGGCGGCGGCAGCGGCAGCAGCGCCTCCGCCCGCAGTGCGTGTGTGTGCGTGTGTGTGATGAGCGATCGCCGCGTCCCTCCGCCCGCTGCCGGCTGACACCCACCGCGCGGGGCGCGCCAGGAGCAGCAGGAGCAGCCGAGGAGCCGCGGCCAGCGCGCAGTGACCTTGGCCCAGGAGGTAACCGAGCGGGCGGGCTCCGCGCCCCTCCGCGCCCCCGCCCGCGCCTCCCGCGGCGGAGCCGAGGCCGCGCTGCCGCCGGGCCCCGCGGGCGGCGCCGCCGCTGCCGCCGCTGTCCGCGGTGCTGGAGCTGCGGGCGCCGCGCCGGGCGCCGCGGGAGAGCCGGTCCGACCGGCCTTTGGCCGCCCGGAGCCCCGGGCGCTGCGGGGCAGCGCGAACCAGCGGGCGGACTAGGGGCAGCCAAGCCCGAACGCGAGGCGTCTCGGGGGCTGGGGAGGGCTCGGGAGGTTAGTGCTTGGAGTGGCATTCGGCGGCTCTCCGCGGCTCTCCGCGGCTCTCCGCATCCGCCGGTGTGGTCTGTAGATGGAGCACATTCTTACACCTGCGTGCAAAGCCGGAGCTATGGCATGATCCGAGCTCTTGCTTGGTGCAGCTCCCGTGTGACCCGGGGGAGGGCGGGGAGGAGACGGGGCTGGCAGGGAGCCGGTCTTTGGCGGTAAAGTGCGATGAAAGTAGGTGAAAGCAACCGGAACAGTGTTATGGCTTATTTTTTCCTTTTCCCTCGTCACCTGCTCCCCTGCCCCCGCGTATGTACGAGCACAGATGTGCTGGCGAACTACAGGGAGGTTCAAAGCGTCTGGTTCGCTTTTCGTGCGTTTGAATGTTGTGGAAGTTGCTAGGACCCGAGCTGCGAGCGGAGGGCACTGCTGAATGCACGTCACGGGCCGAGTCAGTCCTCCCAAAACTGGCCTGGGAGGTGCGGAGCGTCCCTTGGTGAAGCCCGTGCAGGGGAGGAGGAAGCCCTCTGTGAGGAGGCGTCTGTGTGATGTGGTGGTGAGCGGTGTGTCAGGGAGCTGTTCCCAGTGACAATTCATTAACGTTTAAATTAGATCAACACGTTACATCCATAATTTACCAGCAAAAGAGAGTAATGACAGTAAATGGCGAATTAGCAGCTTCGCTCCCATGTAAATATCTATTGGAGTGAGCGCATACACTGATTTTGATAACATGTTGGTAGCAAGTCAGGTCCATTAATCATCAGGGAAGCAAGGAGACCTGAGGTGATGCCCTATTGAAACCACTTTTACCTTTTACAGTGCAACATCCAAAAGCGGATCAAATCTGTGGGAATGGCACAAGGAAATAATTATGGGCAAAGCAGCAATGGGGTGGCTGATGAGTCCCCAAACATGCTGGTGTACCGAAAGGTAAGCCTTTGTATTTTTCAAAAGCTGAGGAAGGGGAAGTCCTGGACTTTTTTGCCTAGCAAGTGAAGCCATTATTTTTGCTGTTTCTCTCCAATTTATTGAATAGAGAAATGACTTTGTCTGTTGAATGGTTTGAAATGGTAAAATCTGCACATGTCAACTTTCCATCTTGTTCAGAAGCAGCTGCTTTTCAATTTGAGATACTTGATGTATTTCAGTCACTTACTGCACGGATACATACAATATTTGAATGGTGGTGACGTGCCAGAGACTGTTTTGAGGTCAAATGTTCACTTTTAAAGTTTATTTGTAAAATTATTTCATATGTATTAAAGCTAAATATCAACTGTACAATACAATATTTCTGGCTTGTGCAGAGAAGTCAGAACCATTAAATTATTTCATATGAGGGGGGAAAACTGATGAAAGAGCTCACTTATCTGTGGTTGCCACAAGTCAAAAAGCCCTGAAAAACATACCCTTTAAAATTTTTCTCTGGGAAGACTTCTAGTGTAGTTATTCTTAGAACATCAATACACTAAATTTCCAGGTATTGAACTCTTATAGTGAGGATTATTTAGTAATTATGCTTTAATTTAAATGAGAGTAAATGATTGGAGTAAAATGCCTTTAATATACATATTTTTAAAAAAGCCTTAAATGCATCTATGAAAAAATAATAACAAAATAAATTTTAATAATAATGGAGAAAAAATAATTTTCCTGTTGCAAACTGAAATAAGTAATTATACAACTGCTTGTTTAATCTTAGAACACAGTGCTTCTTAACTTGTTTGTGGTTATTTTTACCAGGTGAAAAAAAAAAATCAATACTTTACTTTGTTAGAGGCATTGACTTTTCCTCTTACAAGTTAACTGTAATAGAAAACATCTGATATTTAATCAGTTTAGTCTTTGAGGTGAACTGAAGTATAAACAGTAACTGTGGTAAGTGTTCTTTTCCCAGAAATTAAAAAATAGTCTCAAATTGAAGTCTGATGCATGCTTTTTCCTCTTCCTGTTTTCAGATATGTTGCTGATTTCATTTAGTTTGCTGTATTGGCTATTTTGTGAAATTAGGCTCCTTTTACATAACTCAATGAATTTATGAATCTAACTGTGGTTATCCTTCTACAAATGCACATCTAGAAAAAGACAGGATTACCTTGCCATTAACACCACGAGTGTGTTTCAAAAGGCAATTGCATACATGAAAATATGCTGCACATATGAAAAGCAATATAGCAGATCTTATATTGTTCGTTATAGGTTTTTGATCTTTCTAAAAAGAATCTTTCCACATTTTCCATTTACTTCAATGCTGGCAAAAGGGTCTTTTCTCAGCTTATTTAGGACTCAGAGGGACAGCACAGAGAAACTGTTTCTCTCTTACTTTGGTGAGTTTGGTAAAATTTGTGGTAAAATTTGTGACCTCTGGTGTTTAGTATGACCTCATGCCAAAATTTATCATGGCCTCTGGGCAGCTTCACCTCTGAGCAGCATCCGCATTGAATGGAACAGCTGAGGCAAGTAACAAGAGTCCTGGTGATGCGCAGGAGATTTGAAAATGAGGAATGGGAATAGGAAATGCCACCTCAGGTGTATGCTCAGCAAACCAAGACATCAAACACCTTTTTGTTCTGTGCGATACATCAGTAAAGGGATGATATGAGTTTGTGTCCTTCAGTGCAGCAGTTGTCACTAAGAGGACAACTTATTGTCCCTTGTCACTAAGTCACTAAGAGCACAAGTTGTGCTCTGACTATTAAACTTTGAAAAATACTGACCTTTTACAGCATTACCTGCCCTATTTGGGCTTTTTGCTTTTTTTTTGCCTACTTATTTTTCTAGCAGAGTGAATTAAAGATAATTTCAGATTATGCACACTGTGTTAGAGTACAGAGGGAAATCTAAGTAACCATTCCTTTGGCAATACTCAATAAACAGGCAGCAAAATAATAGATAACTTTTCAAGAAATCTGCCTTTTCTTGAAATAGAATATTGGTGTAAGCAAACGTTCTCAATTTTGGATCTGGAACATAAAAGGAAGATTGTCAAGTGTAAATCTTGTCACTTTATCATTATAATCTCTGAGTATAATTCTTTATTAGGAACAACTAAATCACAGAATTTCTTGTAATACATTTGAAAACACAATACTTCTCTCTGTCTGTGTTGGGAATGAAAGCACTGTATGAACAAAGAACTAGATCTGACAGTTTCATGAAGGACTATTTTTTGGCCAACTGGAAATGTATTAACAGTTTTTAGAAAAAAAAAACATAAACATGTTGCTGGCTGAGTTCAGTCCGAACTGATTTTGAAGTCTGGTATTTTGAATAATGTTGCCAAAATGCACAAAGGTGGAAATGCTTTCTTCCAGCTGTTTATGCATCTACAGATGGAAAAGCACACGTTTTGTGATATCTGTACTGGCAAAGAGTAGATGGGACATCTCTTACTTACTTTAATGGAGAGTTGAACTTTGGCCGTGCTGTGAAGGCTGTTATTTTGGCTATAAACCACAGTTTTGTAATCTGGTAATTCTTCCAATCTGTCTAACTTCCAGACACAATCTGAACTAAATGTATTCTGAACTACATGGAATTACAGCTCTGTATTGCCTAAATCTTGATTCTGTCAGGAGTGTTTTATAAAAAAATTTACACAGAATGAAGTCCTAGTGTTTTCAAATTTGGTTTTTAAGGCTTAATTTTTTCAAACTCTTGACAAAAAAAAAATTGTCAGCTTTCTATTTTTAAAGATGTATTTGGTTTTTGTTTAGTTGCTTATTTGAAGAATTGAATAATTGATAATCATATTGTAATCTCAAGTAACATAGAGTGTAGATAGTCTCTTTTTCTCATAGTAGTTTTTATTCCGAGCTGAACAATGCTTTCATGACATTTCATTTCATTTAATTTCTTTTCAAAAAAGATTTTTTTTAAAATCAGCATAGTATAATTCAATATGCAGTACACACATGACTAAGAATAACTTATTTGAATCAGGAAAAGGCAGCAGCACAGATAAATAGTTCTCTATATATTTTTTACTCAGCTTTTTAAGATGCTTGTGTCAGTGTTTTTATGCCTTGGAGAATAATTTTTATTTTAATAGAATGTCAGCTGCATTATTCTTTTTGTCTATCAGCCTAATTATAAAGTAATGACATGTGACACATCATTGGCACTGACATACCTTAGAAAAAGTCCTGAATTTTTCTGCTGGTAGCCTGAGGCAAATATGAAAAATGTAAAACCCCTCCTTGCATTTCTTCTCTGACAGAGTCCATTCCAGTCAGCAATTAAAAGAGATAAGAGACTGAAGTCCATTGTATTTTAACATCACAAATTGCTCATGCAGAAATCTCATATTTTGGCAGCATTAACTTGCTGCTGCAAGCTATGTGTTAGGGAAGAAACTTGACATGTAGTAGTGTAGTAGAAGGCTATACTGTGAAGTTTTTCTAAGTTTCAGAGTCTGATCAGCCTTTTTTTTTTTTTTTTTTTTTTTTTTTTTTTTTTTTAGTTTTAAAACTCTGCACACAATTAAAAGAAAAATAATTTTCTGTATGGGAACTTCTATTTTAGACCTACTGCTGGTCTTGTTAAGCCTTTCTTTATCTTTCTGCATTACTTACTTTTTCAGTCAAACATATGCTGCAACTATTAGGAGTTCTGATTTGCAAGTTTAATGGCTATTGTATTGCTGCCTGAACTAATTTCATTTGAGAGTTGATAGCTTTATTTTGTAGCAATAAGATTATCCTTGTTTGAAAGGTAATATTCTTGTGACTGAGATTTTGTCTCTCTACCTTTCTCACTGCCCCAAGTATTAAAATAGCTTTTGTCAAGTCTGATTAAAATCGTTGACAGTGGGGCTTTTATTATCTAATAAAGATAATGTGGTGTTTCTTCTGTTTCTGTGACGGTGGTGGAAGGTCATATATGTCAGTACTCATGTATAACAAGGGCTGACTTTGTAATCTCAAACTCCTTAGTTTATCATGATTCTCCACAGAAACCATGCCTCCAAAGCATGATACTTTCCAATGTTGTTGTAAAGGAGCAGTAGCTGTAGGGACAACATCTAAGGAAACAGTGGCACCATCTTCTAATAACCATTCTCCATCTCTGCTTCCACCAGAGATTACTTCCAGTGTATACTGCAGATAGTGCAGTGTTCTCATGTGGCCTTTATCAACTGCTCCCTAAAAAGATAGTTGGAAGAAAATGGTGTAATGGATAACTGTGTTCCTTAGAGCCTGTGAGACTAAGGAAGGACATTTTAGGTGGATTTTTCTGAGTGCTGTCACTCACTTTGAGAAGGGAAGAATCACTCTGGTTCTATATGTTTCTAAATATGCCATGATATTCTATGAAGGCATCTTGTTTGTTACTACTTTGGAAAAGTCAGGGTGCTCTAAGGTACTAGAGATAAATTGTGTGGGGATTTTGTGTGTGTGTTGGTTTTCCCCAGTGTGTTTATAAATTTAAAAAAAATTAAATTACATTATACCTCTAGATTATGGTGTTTCTTCTTCTGAGAATAAGAGTGGCACTGGTGTGAGTCTGCGTGATGGTCTTGGTATTATTCCAACACTCATCATTATAGAATTGATGGGGAAGTGTCTATATTTGTGAACCTTGGGAATTCCTTCTGTAGGAAGAAAATAATTTACATTCCTAAGTTATGAGGAAGTTGTAGTCCTGGAGTAGCTGGTTAATAGTGAAGTAAGCTTTTGCAGAGGGAAATTTAAGGAGCAGGAAATTAATAGAGATGGACAGAATAGTTGCTAGATGCTGTGGAGTGCCTTTTGTTTTCCTATATGCTCACACCCTCATGTTTTGTATCTCCTCTGTGCAGATTTGCTTTGCTCTTTCCTCTCCTGGGATGGTTATAGTTAGTACTAGGTGTGACGTGTATCTAAGTTCTGTCATCATTTTTGATAAAAGCGGTATAAAGGATTTGACTGTCTTCACAACTGCATAGAATG